CTGATGAATGGGTCACGTGATGTCCTTATATAGAGCAAAACTCGCTGTATGGAGCGTTTGAAGCTTTTTCAATGGCTAATAGAGTAAAACCCCAATGCTCTTTAGTTTTATATTTATCACTTTTCGGCCGTAAACAAATTCATCGCAATGTAAAATACATGGTAATATCAAAGGGTGTTGATGTATCCACTATCCATGTGCTTGTTCATGTCAACCGCTGGAAGCTGCATGCCTCGCACCCGGCGTATTACGTGTAAATTTCATGGTGTTGATTGCAGTGTTGCGATGTACCTAGCTGTCAATCACTGTCGCTGGATACATGGCAACGCTGTAGCAACGTTCACATGGCTTTGCGTGGTTTGTATTTAATCAAATTTCTGTCAACATATTTATATATGTGTAGTGTTACCAATATGTATCCATTTATATTATTATTGTATATATTACATGTATTTACATTAATGCACGTTATAAAGTGGGTAAATATTCTGCAGGTCTTTTCATTGATGAATGGGTTAGCAGGTATGTATTCACTGTGCATTATTGTTTAATACAAGGCTTTAGGTTGACACTTCTGCACTCAGTTATTCTGATGACTGACAGCGGTCAACTGTCACCTAAGTCTGGGGTTATAAGTTATGTGTATTAGGTTTTTATTACAAGGTTTTAGGTTGACACTTCTGCACTCACTCACTCTTGTCAAGACTGACTGACAGCGGTTAACTGTCACCTAAGCCTGGTGTGTATATTATTTGTTTATTATTTATATCCATTTGGTAAGTGTGGTAGCTTGTTCAATATGTTAGTGTTTATTTATTTGTCATTTTTATAATCATGTTTATGCCATGCATGAAATATGATTGTGTTATATTAGCTTAGGTCAAACGTTAGATTGTGCAAGTGTTTCACCCTAATGTGGCCAGGTTGCATTTCAGCACTGGACGCCCGCTGACCGTACAGATTATTCTTAGGTATGCCATTTGCCATAGTTTATTGCTGGTACAGTTCTGTTATCTTGCCTGCAATGTTGTGTGTGTGCATCTGTAAGTCTGGTAGTGTTAGGCAGAGTAAGCTTACGCTTAGCGGCTGAGTTGTTTGTCCTCCGGGGAACGATATCGTTCACTTGATTCTGGTTTGTGAAGCCTGTAAGTCCGGTTGCTGACAATATGCCGTCCACTTTAATGCTCTGTCCTTCATACGAACGGCAACATTCTACTGGTCCGCAGTCAGTATATTCGGCAACGTGGAGCATTCTTCACGATCAACTGGCGCTCTATCCTTCTCGGACAATGGGCATCGCAGTCTGCTGCCATTGCCTCGCCCTGTCAGCAACGTGTAGCACAGTGTTGTTTGGGTTGGTATCAGTTCTCTATCGGTGGTAGCTGTGGTTGATCGTATGTCTCGGGTCTTCTCTGCCGCCATGGTCTCTTTTGCTCAGGTGTAGACTCGTTACATGGGCTGTAACCTCCACCTTCTATCCTTTGACATATATAGAGTTTGTCTTATCCATAATATTGGCAACTCTTTAGCTAGGTTAGTTTAAGGTTATACAGCTACCATATAAGTACCCATAGGTCAGCTTGGTCTTACCTCAGGTTGTAGTACAAGAGCAAGAATACTGCAGGGAAGGCTCGGACACTTATGTTCCTTTCCCAACTGTATTCGTTCCAAAAATGGGGTTATTTATAACTTGTACTAATTTATCATATATTAAGTATGGTTGTTGGATTATTTCAGATAATCCAATCATGCCACCAGTATTTGTTAATCTGTGCTCTGAGGAGGAACTCAGGCTTATTCCGGGAATAGGGATGAAACTGGCCCGGAAAATTGTGGAACTCAGAGAGACCCTCGGTGTACTGACGGAGGAGGATTTCCGTGATCTCCCCTCTATCAGGAACCCTGAGCAGGCTCTTAGCGCCATCTCCTTCGCTGTGGAATATCCTGGTATCTCAACTGCAGGCTCTTGGTCTCCGAGGATGGTGGAGCAACAGGCTTCAGGGCAAGCTGCACCATCCACATCCAAATCTAAATCAGTTTTTGGACAGTTTACCCCTGTCACCGAAGGTACACCAGGTAGATTGTCCGATACTGATCCAAGGTTCCAGAAACCAGTCACCAGTACTGACGCTGATGCTATTCAGTCCAACTTAAGACAGTTGGAATATGCGGAAACCAACTTGCAGGCCAGGCGTAGAGGACTTACTCCACAGAGTCATAGTGCTCTCTATGACCAGTGGCAGGCGGCCTCTCATGATTTCAACAGGGAAATGGAAGCTTTTACTGATGTTCTTGCCAAACTGGGAGCCAGTGGCCCTAAAGATCCGGTGTCTGGCCGTCTTGCCAAGGCACCCATGCCTAACCCTCATTCTGTGGTACATGGTATGGACGTGTCACGGCAGAGTTCAAGGACAAAGCCCAATACTGAGGAGATCGACCCTCGGGTCCTCCAAGGTGCTGATGGGAATGTCCATCAGAGACATGCTCTAACCCCTGGGTATAGGGAACGGAGGGGGACAGGCCAAACCAAAAGAATGGCCCCTCAACCAATCCTATTTAACTCAGCCCAGGGGAAAAACACACGTGAAACCCCATCCACCCAAGGGACAGCTAGATCCAAGTCCCATCATCCTCAAGCTGTACGAGATGACAGTCTACGAGAGAGGGCATCGAGAAGCAGGGAAATCTCCGATAGAGAATCAGAAGGAGATGAATATCTGTTTAAGCGGAACGGGAGCGACCCCGTTGGGCCTCCTACTTCCAGTACCCCTGCTGGGCCTAGAGAGGAAATGTATCTGGAATCTGGGACAGAAGATGGTTTGTCAAGATATACAGATGGGTACCCTAGGATTAACCATTCCTTAAGGGATTATCCTGTATATGGAGACACACATGACCATTCTTATGGTAGCCATCAACGTTCCCGCTCCCAAAGGTCTCACATATATGGAGACTATATCGACCATGAGCCAAGGGAGTATTATTCCATAGAAGGTCCTAATCGATGCCGGGTGGATGCTACACATCCTGTGGCCCGCAAGCCAATCAGTTGCGGGGAACTCCAGCCACTCCCGAGATCATTCTGGATATTTTGCTGATGGTCTCGCACCTGCCCCCAGAGATAGGCAGAGGATGTGTAAACCTCTACATAACGAGAGGGTAGACAGGATTCAAAGAGCTCCTCATCGTCATCAAGCCGCCTGGAGAGAACCGTTAGGCTACTCTTCGGATAGCGACTTGGATGAGGTTCAGCCTAAACATATTGGGAGGAAACATCGAGCAGATGGGGATAAACCAACAGCTTCACTGCCGCGGATGTTATATGACGGTAGTACAAGATGGTCCTCCTTTTTATATGAAATTTCAACGTTTTGCTCGCTCTCAGTCATGGAAGGATGAAGAAAAGTTAGATCAGTTGTGTTACTGCCTAACCGGTAAAGCAGCTGACTTCTTTGCCCTATTGATAGAGAGAGAGATGAGTTCATCTCTTTCCAAGGAATGGTGAAGAAACTGGATAGGCGGTTTGGGAAACAGTGTCATGCAGAGACTGCCCAACTGCAGTTTCCAAACCTTCGTCAGAACTCGGACGAGTCCTTGGAAGAATGGGCGGAGCGTGTACTTCAAGTTGCGATTGCTGCCTTTCCGGATTTACCAGATGACTTTGTGGAACAACAAGTGGTGCGGAGATTCTGCCAAGGATGTGCTAATAAAGAAGCTGCCCACTATGTTTCAAACCTGGGATTGAGAACTCTGGAATCAGCCATGGATGCTGTACAGAAATACTTCCAGAACACCCAGGCAGTATATGGTAGACCAGTCATTAGGCGAGATGTGAAGCAATCAAACTTGGCCAATGATTCCGAGGAAGATGAATATTCGGTGTCGCAAATGACTTCTCAGTCGAATCACACTCCTTCTCAGGATAAGCGGCAAACTCCATCACAACCCGTAAGGTACAATGTGGTGGAACGTTTGACCCACCTGGAAGCTCGGGTTGAGGAGATGTCAGCAGACATACGGAAGTTGACAGCCATCATGAGTCGACGTTTTAGAAGCCCCTCGTCATCACCAACAAGAACGGGGGAGTGCTTTAAATGTGGGAAAACAGGCCATTTCCGCAGAGATTGTCCAATCAATTCTAACGACAGTAAACGAGGAGAGAAAAAGGTCACGTTTAATGCTCAGGAAAAGGGTGTTAAAGCAATACAAGATGCAACTGAGGCTTTAAACATGTCCGGATCGAGCTCGGAGGCCTAACCTCGATCCCAGTTGAAGAAGGCCAACAACCGCAAGTCGCAGACAGTCAAAAGGTTGAGACTCCTCGGACACAATATCTGCCATTGTTAGACCCCACTGGACATGACATGCCTTCAATGACCTCCTGCCATTCGTCTATTGCTCCTGAGTCAACTAGTTCCTCGGAAGAAGATAGTTCATCAATTCCAGAGATCACAGTTAGGCAATTAAAAAGTGGATCTATGTTTTTGGTACCAGTCCGAATCCAGGACCAGCATACTACTGCAGTGGTGGATACCGCGGCTGAGGTTACCATAATATCAGACACTTTTTATAAGAAACTCTCATGGAAACCTGAGAAAAAACAGGACATTAAGTTGAGAACTGCTGGGAGAGACTTACATATGTCTTCCTTTGTGACAGAACCACTCCAGTTGCAACTAGGGTCTCAAACCTATTCGATTCCTGTGGTAGTGGGTCCCATTCAAGATGATGTTCTTCTGGGACTGGACTTCTTAGTTCCCCAGGGGCTCATCTGGACTTGACTCAACAAGTACTGCAGATTGGATCAGATATCATTGAAATGACTCTATGCCGTTCTCAAAAGGTACCACAAGTATCAAGGATCTCGGTATCAAAGAAAACCGTTATTCCACCCAATTCGGTACGACAACTTGAATGTCCTATATCAAAGCAACTCACAGATTTCATCATTGAGCCACGCCTAACAAAATCTGATCTACTGATGCCCAGGACGTACCAAAATGGAGGAAGTACCCCCCATTGTGTGTCTGGTTAATCCTTCGGATCATCAAGTGGTGTTACAGCCTAGTCAAGTCTTAGGGGTTGCCATGGAAATAGATCATGTCGAATCACCCTTTGAGCAATTGGCGGCTGTCAAAACAAATAGTCAACCCAACATCCCTGCTCATCTGAGAAGTCTGTTTGAAAGATCATCTGAATTACTTCAAGGTCAGGAAGTTCAGCAATTGGCACAATTACTTACAGACTATCAGGATGTATTTGCAAAAGATGACTTGGATCTGGGAAACTTTACAGTGCTTGAACATTCCATCGACACCGGGAATGCCAAACCAATTAAACAGCGCATGCGAAGGACACCACTTGGATTTGAAAAGGAGGAGGAGTCACATCTTAAGAAAATGTTAGATGCTGGAGTCATCCAACCTTCTGTATCAGAGTGGGCTGCACCCCCTGTATTAATACGCAAGCTTGATAATACAGTACGTTGGTGTCTAGATTTTCGCGGTCTGAACGGAGTCACGAAAAAGGATGTATTTCCCGCTGCCGCTGATAGAAGATTGTCTGGACACACTCGCGGGTAACGTCTGGTACTCAAAGCTGGATGCAAACTCAGCTTATTGGCAAGTCAAAATATCACCAATGGATCGTGAGAAAACAGCTTTCATCACCAAGTATGGTCTTTTGAACATGTTCGGATGGGATTTGGCCTCTGTAATGCTCCAGCAACATATTCACGAGTAATGAATCTCGTATTGAGAGGATTGACCTGGGATATTGCTCTGGCCTTCCTGGATGACATTCTGGTGATGGGCACTGATGTCGAAGACCATTTGACTAATCTCCGATCTGTATTGGAGAGGTTCCGAATTTACCAGCTCAAGCTGAAACCGCGGAAATGTGAACTGTTTCAGCAGAGGGTAGAGTTTCTTGGTCGTGTGGTTAGCCAGAATGGGCTGGAAGCTAACAACGAGGGCCTTAAAGCAGTGTTAACCTGGCCTCGCCCTACTTGTACAAAGGATGTTGAAAGGTTCCTTGGTTTTGCCAATTATCACAGAATGTTTATCAAGGACTACGCCTCAATGGCAGTCCCATTGTATCAAATCACGGGTAAGAAGGCATTCCAATGGAATGATGAGCAGGAGCAATCTTTCTCGTCCTTGCGGCATGCTCTTACCCATACACCTGTGTTGGCATTACCTACCAAGGAGGACCCTTCATCCTAGATACAGATGCCTCCAATGAAGCAATCGGTGCAGAGCTGATCCAAATTCAAAATGGTGAAGAGAGAGTGGTTTGTTTTGGCAGTTTTAGTCTGACTGCCGAACAAAAGAGATATTGTACAACCAGAAAAGAGCTATTGGCAGTAATTAGATTTACAAGACAGTTTCGACACTATCTGCTGGGGCGACGTTTCACTGTTAGGACTGATCACAGCAGTCTCCAATGGCTATTAAACTTTCGAATCCAAATGGCCAATTGGCTAGGTGGCTGGAAGAATTGAGCCAATATGACATGGTAGTGAAGCACCGTCCAGGAAAACTGCATGCCAATGCTGATGGTTTATCACGAATTCCACAAGAGGATAAATGCCACAATTATAAACCAGGAATAATGTTGGAAAATTTACCTTGTGGAGGATGCAAATATTGCACTCGAGCTCATGAAAATTGGAACAGATTTTTCGAGGATGTAGATGATACCATACCTCTGGCCCATGTTGGGCAGGATTGCCTCTCTGATGATGACTCACCAGATGATTGCGGCCTGCCGGGTCTCCTGTATGGAAATACAATCCAATGGGGAGTCGGGGTTCTTATTGAACACCACCCCAGTGGCAGTAAGACTTGTAGGAACCGACGACGGGCAGAAAGAACAATTTGGGTACTCTACTCAGGAGATAATCAATCAGCAGAAATCTGATCCTGACCTGGCAATTATAATGGATTGGATTCAAACTGCTAAGGAGCCGAGTGAATCAAGTCTCTTTCTGACCAGTCCTGCAGCGAAACACTATTGGCTGAACCGAAATTTATTTCGGATTGACAGTCAGGGATTGTTACGTGTTGATCCTCTCATAAAAGAAAAGACAACACGAGGCATGGCATCCCTGGTGGTCCCGAAATCATTACAGCAAGAAGTGCTTAGGTTAAACCATGATATAGCTGCTGCAGGACATCTTGGAATGGAGAAAACTATCTACAGAGTCAAAACCAGGTTCTACTGGCATGGCATGGTACCGGATATCAAATCGTACGTAGGCACCTGTTCAGCATGTAGCCGAAACAAAGGACCTGTACGACATGCCCGGTCACCAATGATCAACTTTCATGCAGGGGCACCCATGGAAAGAGTTCATCTTGATTTCATTGGTCCCTTGCCCAAGAGCAATTTGGGTAACCAATACATCTTGATGATGGTTGATCAGTTCACCAAATGGGTGGAGTGCATAGCTTTGCCTACCCAAACGGCTGAGGTGACAGCCAAAGCTGCCGTAGACGGTTTTTTCTCCCGATTTGGATGTCCTTTCCAAGTATTTACGGATCAAGGAAGGAATTTTGAGAGCAAATTGTTCACTGAGCTTTGCACATTACTTCAGATACACAAAACCAGGACAACCCCATATCGACCCTCTGCAAATGGACAAGTAGAGCGATTTAATCGCACTCTCTTGCAAACCATTCGTTGCCACATTGACGCAAACCAGACAAGGTGGGACGAATTTCTGCCACAACTGGCAGGAGCATTGAGATCTGCAGTAAATCGACAAACGGGATATACCGCCAATATGCTGATGCTAGGTAGGGAAATCAATCAACCTGCAGAGCTAGTCTTCAGTGCCACACGGGAGGAATCTCCATCTTTGGACCCCGACACGTATGTAAGTCAGCTTGCCTCAGCACTTGGTGAGGTACATCAGTTGGCCCGTAAAAAATTACAAACTACTCAGTGCCAGATGAAGAGGGATTATGATTTGAGGATTCTGTCCCGGAAGTTTGAAGAGGGGGGAAATGGTGTATATACTGGACACTGCCTCCACTGTGGGGAAGTGCAAGAAGTTGTCTCCATCCTGGAAAGGACCAGGAATAATAACTAATAAGATTTCCAATACATTGTATGAAGTCCGGACAAGGAAGACAACATCAGTACATCATCATGACCGCCTCAAGCCTTGTCGAGATCGTGTAATTCCAAGTTGGATCCAAAGGTTTTCTAAAACCAGGAGTTCTATAGAGGCCCAAGAGGATCTTAACTTGGATTGGCTCTTCAGCAATCAAACTAATTATTGTATATGTAACAAGCCCGATGATGGAAAGTTGATGATAGGCTGTGACCAGTGTGACCAATGGTTTCACGGAGCATGTGGAATCACCAGGAAAATAGCTCAGACTCTGGATAAATACATCTGTCCTCACTGCCAAACAGGAAGGGACAATTCACCTTAAAAGTAGAAAATTGCTATTTTTCCAGAAACATGGTGTTCCAACGACGCACAAGATCTGTGGAACGTCGCGGTGCCAGGAGTCGAGAGCTGTCCACCTCTTACTGGGCTGGGGATGGACAATCAGAATCCCCGGAGTCCCTGTCAAGCAGGGGAACCACCCCTTCTTCTCCTGGGCATCGAACATCAGGAGTGGACCAGGCTCATGGGCGTGAGGCAAGATCCTTGACCCACAGGCCCCATACACCTGCACACTCTCCCTCACTAAAGCGGAGTCACCAGCCTCAGGATTCATCATCACAGAAACGGCATTGTTCCAGCCCTGACCAGAGACGAGTGGCCTCGGTGGTTTATCTCCCAGTCAACCGGTGGGATAGATCTCAAGAGCGTCTACCTTCCAGAAGGCCGGCCGAGACCTCAAGCCGACGATCTCCACTCAGACAGACGGCTGTATACTACAACTCGTCCTGGCAAAGGCAACAACATTCGCCAGCGAGAGAACTCTCAAGACGGGAGAGATGTTCCTCACCTAGGAGACAAATCCCAAGAAGGCAGAAAAAACATCATTCGCCAGAGATGAGACGAGAGAGACGTTCCTCTCCGAGGAAACAGGTCCTCGGAAGGCAGGAACATCGTCCCTCACCGAGACGGGAGCAACAGCGGCCCGAACCATCCTCTTCCGCCAGGTTGATTAAGACCAATAACAAAGGGATGAATGTATCAATAACGAATAAGGGAGCCGCTAAATTTCACAGCAACCATCCTCATGGCTTAGGATCCATCTGCCCCATCAAGTCTTGTGGAATGCGATCCAGAACATTGCGCCACCATGTCCACAGAGCTCATCTTCCACACTGTCTTCGGGACTCGGAGCAGGTCTCAGCGGAAACAACTTCCCACATGGTGACAGCCATAGAAGACCTTGCTCGGCAGATCTTGGGAGCAGGAGCTACCTGGACGGAATTGCATCAGTTCGTCCTAAGGAATAGCCTTGTTCCCAAGGACATACCTCTCAGAGGAAGCTGCTACGGGCACCTTTCCCAGCTGTGCCAGATGAAAGGTTGGCCACTACCCCCTAGACGCCACCAACCTGTCTTTGGAGAGTCCAGCTTGCTTGATTCACTGGAGGGTCTTGGCGGCACTGTTAAATATAACATCTGAAATGGTCAGGATCCACTTCCACAACCTGGGAACCATCCTGCCACTGGCCAGTCCATCTCCGGTTGTGCAAGCCGCACAATCGTCAGAGCCATCAGAGATGCGGACACCTCCACCTTTACCATCCGTACAACAACGGCACAAGCCACCAACGCTGGAGGGACTTCCCAGGGGCTTTGACACCCACTTCCATTCGGACAGAATGCGCAGCAGGCTCCACCTGGACGCTGCCACGCCCCTGGATGAAGTCCTGGATCAAGCAGGTCAACCACTGGATGATTCCTCCTTTGATCTCGTCAGAGCCATTCAAATATTTTGTGATCCTCCAACTTGGCCCCAAGATCCAACCTTTCATCAATGTTGGAAAATCGCCGTTGGACTACATCCAAAAAAATGTGAGTTCCTATCGCTCTAATCAGCTAGATAAACTCAAGAGTCTGCTATCCTCACCGAACGTCATCGCCCTGGGAGAAGTTGGCCTTGACTTCACAGTAGGGAATTGGGAACAGCAGGGCAAAGTTCTGGAAAAACTCTTCCAGATGGCTGACCCCAACAAACCAATCATCCTTCACCTCCGTGGAACCGCCAAGGACCGGTATCAAAGGGCCCCACTGGAGGAATGCATTAAGATCGCCCATGCAGCAGGACTCCAACCGAACCAGAAGTTTCATCTGCACTGCTTTTCTGGATCCTGCAAGGAAATGGCCCTTTGGACCAAGAACTTCCCGGAGACCTGGTTTGGATATACTGGAATGGTCGCCAGCTTTGACGAACATCAGCTCTCAGCCCTGCGGTTCCTGAATGCAAAACGGTTTGTGCTGGAAACGGATGCCCCCTACCTATGGCCTCGCCCAGGTCACCGAGGGATTAACAGCCCAAGATTACTCGGTGATGTGGCAACACTGGTGGCTGAGGCTCGACAGAGTACTATGGCCAATATCCTAGAGCGCGCCTACATCAATGCTAGGCAGCTCTACAGGGTAT